TCCCTACACCAACAGAAGTTGGTCCCGTGCCTTTGAAAGGCCATTGCGGAGAGGGGTCGGTTGCAGGGCTTGCAACTGGTGGATTATAGTTGTGCCTTCTGCCATTCCCAGGAGGGCTTAGCCCTGCCCCAAGAAGCTGAAGGAAGGTGGGTGTAGTGGGAATAGGACGGCCCAACCCTCTTCTTCGTTTCTTCCTCCCAAGCATACCTCAGGAGGAACGCGCGGGGGCCTCGCAGACAGCGCTGCAGACAGCCTGGGCCCTTCTCTCGAAAGAGGCGGGCGCCGTTAGCCCACCTGCCTGCCTTGCTCCAGGCGCTGGAGGAGGGTTGGTACAGGCGCAGATCCAGAGCCTAGGACTCTGCGGACTGTTGGGCAGCCCCCGTATCCGTCCCCTTTCTGTGGGCAGCACCCTGTGCACGTATGCACCCCTCCACCAGCAGCCAGTTTTCATAACAAATGTTTATTTTGGATACTGGCGGCTTTTCCACATGGCCTGGATGGAAACGATAAAGAGTGAAGCGCGAAGCTGGGGTGGTGCTGGGCGCAACAGGCAAGCTTCACCCCGCTGTCCTTAGTAGGGAAGAGCACCAGGACTGGGCATTGCCTAACGTGAGACTGTTAAGTGGGTGAGCAGCTCTGGGCCTGGGGACGAGGAGGACAGGGTGGCTCCACAGCCCCGTCCCAGCCTCCCAGGTAGCGGAGCCCAGCCATGCTCGGCGTGGTGGGCCAGGCCTCCTGCTCAGTCTCTGCCCGTAGCTGCCAGGGAGGATGGAGGCGCTGCCAGAGATCTGGTGCTTCAGTGTCTGAAGCCTGCAGAGCAGCTCCAGAGAAGGCAGCAATGTCTGTACCGTTTGTCCATGGCTGGCTCAGGGTGAGTTTTTTTCCTGCTCCCCCTTGGCTCGGGGGTTAAAGAAGGCCCTTGGGGGTGGCGGGGAGGGAAGCGTGGCAGCGTCAGCTGGCTGGGAGGCACCCCCCCCTCGCTACTTCTCCTGCATCTTCTCCAGGATGGGCACGATCATGTCAAACTTGGGGCGCTTGGCTGGGTCCTCGTTCATGCAGATCTTCATCAGCTTGCAGATGTGTGGGGATATGCCAGGGGGGATGGTTGGACGTAGCCCCTCCAGTGCCACCTGGGAGCACGGGAGAGCAGGGCAGGATCAGAAATCTGGACCCAGCCCTGCCTTCGACAGGCACAGCCCATACCTCTGGGAGGAGTGACGGTGGGCTCTCCTTCCGTGGGCCTTGCCTCCCCTCCCTGCTGGCTGCTCAGGCCCCGTTACGCCCTGGCTGATCTGGTCTGGACCGATGCATTTTGCCCAGCCCTCTCCTCACCTTCATGCCTATCTCCATGTTGGACAAGTCTGCAAACGGCACCTCGCGGGTCACCAGCTCCCACAGCAGCACCGCAAAGCTCCACATGTCAGCCGAGCGCCTGTTAATTTCCTCTGGCTTCTTCTGCAAGGCTGTAGGGAATCCAGCAGGGCGGGCTGAGTGGGGCTGAGGGCGAGGAAGGGGCCAAGCAGCCGGAGGGGCCTGGCTACCGGGCGCTCACCTTCTGGTGCCACCCAGGCTGGTGCATACATCCTCCCTGGGCACTGGAAGGAGAACTTCACGTCAGCCATGCTGATCCGTGCTGTCATGTCCTCGTCGATCTGGGGAAAGAGGGGGGGTCAGAGGG